GGCGGCAAGGCCATGGGATGGCCTAGATACCGGTATAGCTATTGTTCTATGGAGAGGAGAACTCGTAGTCATGTCCTAAGGATGTAGGCACATAGCTGAACCTTGTTAAAAAACATCATGATTGGTGTCATTCACATTTGCATATTTTCTTTTATGATGTTTATGCTTCGACATTTGTTGGTTAGTAGATCCGTTTGGTCTGGATCTAATTATGCACTCTAACAATCATAAGTGGTGGATTATGTTTTTAATTGGCCTAATTCTACTTGTACAAGGAAATTATTTGAATTTAGGAAATTTTGCTCAAAATTCATTAAATTCAAGCAAAGGAGGCAAGTGGATGTGGCAGGGTGACAAGAGCCCACCTAGTGTAGTTGGCCGACCCCACCATGGGTCGCCCGACCTAGCCCCACCACTACCACATCACTAATCCACCCCCAAGCTAAGAAAAAACACTTTGGTGCAATCCTAAGCTTTGATTCATGGTCGGTTTGATCCAAGGGCTGGTGTGAAGCTTCACATGGATTCAAGGGCCCACAAACCAACTTTGGACACATGATCTACAAACAGCCATTGGGATAATTGTCAACCGCCTTGAGGAGCACCCATACACTGTAGGATGGAGAGGCAGTGCTACATCGATATCTTCTCTACGCTTGTGGAAATATCCAATTGCCCCATAAGAACTATCAACATCCTCCTTCTCTAGAACCAAAGCTCTTCCACACTTTATGCAACCACCACAAATTCTCCCCCATAAATTTTAATTTGGTGATTTTGGTACTTAGGGTCTGTTTGGTATGGCTGTCCATGGCTCCAGCTCCTCCTCATTCACTGTAGTGCTACTGTTTTCTGCTGTAGCAAGGAGACATTTTACTTCCCTATACAAAAAAACTAGACAGAGGATGAACCGATGGAGCCACATTTTGTAGCTCCACGAGCTCTGTGCTATAGTGTCACTACAGTATTCTATAGTGCTGGAGCCGAAGCTACAAGGAATTGTGCCAAATAGCCCCTTATTATGGGATGGGTGATATGCACACGTCTATGGATCATGTGTGACGAGTAGTTGTGGCCCAATCTTCTTGAAGGATCTGAGAACTAGATAACTATAGTTGCATGACATGATGATGAGACAGTGCACTGCAAGTTCTACACACGCAACAAACTGCCAAAATAGACACCCTTCCATGAACCAAAGAAGCTAACCCACACAATCACCCCATAAAGACATGAAGGCACAAACTGGGTGTCGTGGAGTCAAAACCGTGGCAAGCATTATTATTCATTGGGTGTCACAGAGTGTGTGTCTCCGGTGGCTCGGGTGGACTCAAGAACACAAAGATCACAGAGAGGATGCAACGGTTTATCCTAATTCAGGATATTGGGGCCCTACATACAGCAGTAGATGATCCTTATACTCAAGAGCACCCAAAATCAAGGGGTTACAACAGAGTGTAAGAGAGAGAGAGAGAGATTTGATAGGGGATCGCTTGGTGTTGATCCTAGGTTCGTCGGCGGTGAGGTCTCCTCCTCGTTGGAGAGGAGGAAGACGATGGAAGTAGGGAGAAGCTCTCGGTACTTCTCTCTGGGTGGCTCTGCTCTCGGTGTAGTGCTCGAGTTGTCCGAGGAGGACTCAAATGATCTATCTCGGATCGCTCTGGATTCATCCTCCGGATTTCATCCTCTACCCCCTCTAGGATCTGATCTCCCCTTATATACCGAGGTAGGTCGGGTACATGGCGGTTTGGGATAGTTTAGCCTATGGTCTATGTGCGTCGGAGTCCAGGAGGTTCTTACAACGGCGCCGATGGACCGTGGCATTGTTGTGGAGCCAAAGAAGCTTTGGGCGTCGTCCGACTGCACTATTCTGACACGTTGAGTGTTAGGCTTTGTCAGCTTTTGGACCGGCCTCCACCAGGTGCACCTTCTGGAGGCTTCTTGGTGATGAAGGCATTCGGCATGAGAAGCTAGCAAGCGGGCGCGGAAGCCCCCGAGCTTCTAAAGCCGGCGGAGGGTTTTTTGTCCCCTTGTGTCACACCCCATGCATGACCTTGTTAGAGAAGTGGTTGGCAGCGCCATGCCAGTTGGGCAACACTGGGAAGCCCCCGAGCCTTGGACGCTCAGGGCACTTGTCTTTAGCCCGGGCCTTGGCTAGCGCTAAAGGCCAGGAGGGGCCAAGGATCGGGTTCAGACTCCTGTTAATCGGGATCCTGAGGCTCGGGCGAGCCCCTAAGTCCTGAGCAAAGGTAGCGGATGTGCTCGGGCTCAGCCCAATCCTTAGCCGGAAGGTGCGTGCGAGCGCACCTGAGGGGTGTAGCCCCCGAGCCCCTAGGCGATCCTAGAAGGATTGGTTGGGGGTCCCGTGGTCGGGAACTTTTGATCCCATGGCCTAACATACCCCTATGTTATGATCTCGTCACTGGGTGAACCACAATTCGACATTTCATAGCTCACTCAGGAATCAAAAGAACAAGCAAGCCCCTCAAGACTCATGAGTAGTTGTTCTGAACAGAACGCAATTGTTTTACACGAACTTTGATAGCTAAAAGTCCTTTCCCACATCCTATTACATTCATACTTATAGTTCATGTGGGTGACTTCTGTTTACACTAAAGCACAAGTTATAACAGCTAGTAGGAAAGTAAAAGAGTAGTTCGCCTTCTGAAGTGGTTGTTCTTCCTATGCATCTAGAGTAGCTTGAACAGTAGTTTATGGTGTCCTTTCATCTCCATGAACCTGATGAATAGGTGGCCTTGACACCCTTGACTTGTAGTTGAGCATAATCTTTATCTACCGGTTCTCTTTTAGATTCTTTGTCTTGATTGTAGTTGCAGCAACTGCTTCATACTTTTAGCACCCTTGCACGTCCAGAATTAAGTAGTCTAAAATAGAAGTGAAAACACTATATAACAGTTCAAGATGAAAACTATAATGTGTATTTAGGGAAACCTTTTACCTTTTTAGCCTTGAGTTTTTGCACTTGATTTAGAACAACACTTCTTGTGGATCAAAATTATTATCATTCCATGCACTTTCAAATTCTCGGTCATTCCTAAGAACAATAAAGGAACAACATGAATGCATTGATGAATCTTCAACATTATTTGCAACGAATGCAAGGTTAGTGTTCACCTGAGCATGCATTTCCTTCTGTAACTATTTTGCCCACTGCCTTGTAATTAGTACAACAATATCAGTAGCATTTTGTTTAGGTATGGGAGAAGTGTCAATGCTAGGGATGTCCTCATCAGCCTCCCCTGTCTTGAGAAGGCGTCGTCCTTGACTTGAACTCACCCACATATGGAAATAAGTCTTTGGTGTTAAATGTCACACTAACATTTGAAAGTTTAAGCTGCAGCTCTATTATCTAAGCATTATCCAACACCTTGAACGGACCATCTCCTCGTGGTGATAACTTACTCTTGTGCTATTTTGGAAAGTGATCCATGTGCAAATGTGGCCACACAAGGTCACCTAGCTGAAATAATGCTTGTTTCTTACCTTTGTTAGTTTGTTTTGCATATTGTATCGACTTTGTCTCTATGCTCTTTTGTGTTTTGGCATGGAATTTCTTGATCAACTCGTATCTTTTGGCAGCATTCAAATCTCTGCAATGGTATGGACAAAAGATCCATGGGAGTATGTGGCTTGAAACCATAAACAATTTCAAAAGAACAAAACTTATTCGTAGTGGAGTGGATTGCCCTGTCGTAAGCAAATTCCACATGTGGAAGGTAGTCTTCCCACATCTTTAGGTTCTTCTTTAGCATAGCTTGCAACATTTGTTGATAACGTGCGGTTCACTACCTCAGTTTGTCCATCTGTTTGCGGGTGGCATGTAGTAGAAAACAATAATTTGATGCTGAGTTTGCCCTCTACATTGTCTTCCAAAAGTAGCACGAAAACTGGCATAATGGTCAGAGATAATTGTCTTGGGCACTCCATCTCTGAAAAACAAACTAGCAGTGTGTGAAGCATCATCGCTCTTACGATATATGGAATGAAATACGCCAAGCAAATAATATAAAAAAATAGCAATTTATCTATCCCTTAAGTTTAACATCAAGGAGTGCATGCAGTTTCGTTGAGCTTGGAATCTTTTCTGCAGCATTTTTCAAGTTATGACCTATAACTCTAAGTCTCTAACCTGTTTTGCAGGTATGAATCTATCCTTTAGAGACCAGTGTTCATCGATGAGTGAGCAATCCCTTGGGCCAAACTTAATGACACATTAAACTGTTCGCTTTTTCATTTATTAATGGTAAAGAGAAACAATGATACTCTACAGCAAAATAAAGTTCCCACAAGGCAACAGTAATTAATTTGGAAAAAGCGAGGGAATATTCCTGTGCTTTGCTGTAAAGTTGTTCTTGAGGCAAAAGGTTAATGTGGCAGTGTTCTAAAAAGGCAGGGTAATGAGTATTAGAGCTGGATTTAAGAACACGGAGTGCAAATTTAGACACAGTTTATAGCATTACATAAGTGTTGCTCGCCCCATAAACAAGCATATCTCTATCCTTTCCATGTGTAGCAATCAACCAGGACCATTTGGCCCACACTTGATTTCGCTTAGCAACTTTGAAGCTACTAAAGGCTTTCTGCTATCTCTCCAAACTGTACTATCTCGGTTTCATAATCGTGGAAGAACTTTCTACATCATTCCAACTACAAAGTCATAATGACTGAACCGGTACGACACTGAAGCGGTTTCCAAAGGTGCTGATAGCATCGAATTGGTTGTTGAAAAGACTTCCTACTGAAATTGTGTACTGACTATGGTACACATATGATCGATCTTGGCTGGTTTCTTATTCTGCCAACTTGTAGCGCGGGCGTGGAATTGTGTACATAATATTTTGGTGTTCTCAGCTCAAAGTCATGTACCTCCCATTATATTGCCGCACTTTCATGGTATATAGACGACAGCCCTCCCCTCCCATGTAATGCTCAATGGTGCACATCAAACCGTATTGAGAGAGGGGGACACAGAGAGAGGGATGAGCAACCATCACAGGTTCAAACTATCCCATCTCATGCCAAACTCTTGGTTCTACAAGCTGAGGGACATGAAGAAACCCAGGCCAGCAAGCAAAAGAAACAGCGAAACAACAAGAACCTCTAAGAGATCAAGCCAGTACTGCCATGGAAGCATCACTCCCAAACCGCTTCCATTATCCCCACATCGTTCCTACTCCTACTACCTAAACACAAAGCATAATATGTCACTCGATAAGAAGCTACGCCCCTCCACTCTCCATCTTAACCCAAAGGCACCAGACATCCAATTCCCTAGAGATCACCACCACCACCATCATCGCCCGGCAAACACCATGGTCATCGAAGCCAAGCACGAGTTTCAAGACTTGCAGTTGCAGCTACGTCCGATTCGTACAAGGGCAGTGCTTACCGGATCTACAAGCGGTACATGCCCGAGCTCGCCGAGGCTGAGGAGCAGAAGGTTACCTGCTCTGATCAATGGCGGTAGCGTCAGTACCACGAGTGCTATTGGTGGCCGGAGAAGCGCTGCTAGGAAGAGCTTCGCCGTCGTCAAGGCGTCGACAGACCCGCCCAGGGATTTCAAGGAGAGCATGGTGGAGATGATCGTCGAGAACGACATGAACGCGCTGGAGGATATGCAGGAACTTCTTGAGTGCTACTTGTCACTCAACTCGAGGGAGTACCATGGAGTTATAATGGAGGTCTTCAGGGAAATTTGGCTTGAGATTGTCCAAGACATTGCTGAAGATTGAGATTATTATGTGATGTGAAGATCGGTAGTGTCGGTGATGAACTGTAAATTAAGCGCAACTGGCCGGGCTCTATATGCCAGTGAATGTGAATCTGTAAAGAAATGCATGCATGTGTTATCAGAGTGTATATGATGTTACATATGAGTAAACAAGAACCTGTATATTCAAGCTTAATTATTCGAACAGTATATGGTCGTATTGATTTCATGATCGACTTGTGTTTGTGCTAATTAACTCAAAAGGTAATGTGGGACCCTTTCACACTGCGCTTCTGCGATGTTAGCTTAAAGGAGCTATGGTCCATAGTCCATACGCCATAGCTTTCGCTTGGGAGAAAAAATAAAAACAGCTTAAAGAAGCTAGCTAGTTGGAGGCGGCCGCTTGCTCTTCTCAGTTCAGTATTACTTCGTTTCCACCTTTCTACTATTTGATTTCAGAATACTATGTCTATGCAGCGGCGACAATCATGTGAGCAAGATTAGAAAAATGTCCTCCAACAACTCCTTATCTCAACTGCCAATATTTCCGCTTTGGGGAAGATAGATCCAATCGCGACGAAAAATACACACGCATATCTGGAGGTGGAAGAACGTGGGGAGGAATAAGAAGTAATTATAAGGTTTTCAATGCAAATATATAAGAGAGAAAAAATATATAAAATTGGTTGGAGTTATTTGAAAATAGTTCGGCATTCCTTATCTTTGCACCTAAAAATTAAAGACTATGGCCCCGTTCGCTTCACTGAAAAAACAAGTCAAAATACTGTTCCGGCTAATTTGCTGTAAGAGAAAAACACTGTTACGACTAAAAAAAAACAAGCTGAAAAAAATATATTATAAAAGAAGCGAACATAACCTATAACATCATCCTGATACCAAATCCTGCCTACCTATCTACCCTATAGCACCCAATCCACAAGGGCACTAGGCACTAGGCACGTCGAACTCGTATCTCTAACAATAATGGTAATGGCCGGTTATAGGATCCAATTAGTTGTCAATATCGGACAGGACTCTATTCTTAAAGGCTCTCCTGACTAACCTTGATATACACGTAGTAAGCCTTATTATGTTGAGGTGGATTGAGATAAAATTACGTTTAAGTTTTACTTCAATCAACCTCAACACACGTGGATTGATACGATCCGACTACATCCAAACAAGATCATACTATAATATATGCTTCTAGAGCATCATAAAAGCATCTTCAAGAGATTAGCAAAAAAGGCTAGCCAAATTTACTGATTTAAGTGCTCTCTAAAATAGACTTGACAAAAAAAATATTAGAGTATTCCAACAGACTCTATAAAGGATGACTAGTAAGATAGGCTATCTAAAGGTAGAGAGCAAATGAGGTGGAATGGAGAGCTACTAAATTTAAAGAGTCATTTTATAGAGTCTGTTGGAGATGTTTTTACTTCAATAATAGCTAAATTTATCTTTAGAAAATGATTTGGCTAATCTCTTGAGATGCTCTATGGCTTCGTTCGCTTATCTTATAATACGTCTTTTTCAGTTTGGGCCTGAAAAAAAATTAGGTGGAGCCTATATGCTGCATACATACCTGGATTTGTGCCACGTGGATGTCGATGAAATCCCACGAACGCTGCTGGCTTGCATGGAGCCGAGCGAGTGTTGTGCGAGCAGGCGAGTTGTGCGAGTCGTGCGGGAGAGTTGCTAGGCCAACGAGTGGTGTTGGTTGGATTTTTTTTTACGTCCACGTGGCAGAAATCAGGAGCCTGCATGCACGGACGCGTATTGCATTGAGGATGAAAATGCTCGAACTCGGTCGAAAAACTCCTCAACCGTTTTCTATTTTTACATTTGAAATACGAAAGCGAAAGCGAAAGCGGACAAACCGGACACGAAAACGAACACGAACTTACGGAATATCTAGAATTTCGGAAACGAACCAATTCAAGCGGAATTATGTCGAACACGGTCGGTATGCGAAAATTCAATACGAATACCGACCCACAGTGCATAGCATTAAACAAATACACGACCAAATACATAACAAGTTCACAACTAACAAGTGCATGATCTAGTTCAAGTGCATAGCATTAAACAAGTGCACGACCAAATACATAATAAGAGAGATGAGGCTGAACGCCGTCTATAAGAGAGGGCAGCTAGCCACCAGTAGAAAGAACGCAGATGCGTGGTGAGCAGCCTGTAATTGAGCTGTATGACCTGTGCAGTTGGCCAAATTCGGTTTAAACCGAATTTTGAATTCGAAATATTTCAAATTAAAAGTAGAAAAGTGGAAAACAGTCGAAAAATGTGTAAACCGTTTTCTACTTTTACATTTGAAATACGAAACATCTCAAATGCGAAAGCGAAAACGGTAAAGTCGGATAAGAAAATACGGATTCGATCGGATTAAATATAGAAAACGATGCGGTTCGGTTCGGAATATTTCCGTTCCGTTTTCATCCTTACATTGCATACTGGCTTCACCGATTTTTTTTTCCATAAGTATACGACTAAAATAGGTAGGTCGAACTCTATAGCTATACGTGCAGTGTTCAGACGGACTTTTCGTAATTTCTCCTTCAACCCTCCAAGAGTAGTATGTTTCCTTCTGACCTTCTCCAAAATATTTAGCACCAATCAAAACTTGGGCACTTTTATCCAGAAACCACTCATAATTGAATATTTGACTCAATCAAAAAAAATTAACACGGAGGCCCATCTGTCATAAGCTCAACCACGATGAATAAATGGCTTTGATATAATATGTACCAAATAAATATATTTTCGTAATAATTTTGTCACACGTGACATGATTATTTTCGATACTAAAGTTGCACTTTTATTTTGTAGACTGATGCTCGTGACTTAATCCGGCCAATAACCAGCCCACACAACCTCATGGATCTATGTCAATGTAAAGATCTATACTTCACACTTCAGCCTTTGCCGTCGTTACGCTCGCTGGTATGCCTTCGCACCTCATGGGTCTATACGCTCGCTGTCTCTGTGTCCATCGACCTTGATTATGGCTGTCGCTCCAGAATGCTCTAAGATAGTTGGACATTATTTTGTTTACGTTGTAACACACACGAGCATAATCTTAATATAAAATTAGTTTCTATCTTTTAGGGACTAGCCTTTAGAAATAGTTAGAATAACCTAATAAATATGCTCCTAACTTTTTAGACACTTAAAAATTCATTGATTTACCTATTTCTTTTTTAAAATTATGAGATGCTCTTCCTACCTCTCTTTCTCCTATTCTTTCTTGTCTTTCTTTTCATGTTCCTCTATTTTTCTGTCCTTACTCTTCTTCATCTATACATAAATAAATAAGATGTTTGGTTTGTAAAATGAGTTTAACTTACTGGCATGATTTATTGTAATCTTAGTCAATTATGTGTTGTTTTTTTAATTTTGGTCGATAGTGATTTTTACACGTGTTCACTGTTCAGTTACCCGGGTCGGGAAAGACTCGCTGAACCCAATCCTAAGAACTAGCCGCATTCCCCCCGCTCCTCCCGCCACCATGGCCGCCGCCGCCATCTCTTTGCCCCGTTCTCCCCCTCTACTTCAACCCACGCGTCGCCGCCCAGCGCCACCAGCCTGCACGCACTCCGAGCGCGGCGTCTCCTTCGACCCCGGCTCCGCCTTCTACCGCAGCGACAGCGCCGCGGGCCGCGACCTCGCCGTCCTCGCGGCCACGCTCCACCGCTGCCGTGGCCGCCCTGACCCTTCCGCCCCATTTCTCTGCCTCGATGCGATGTGCGGCTGCGGCGTCCGCGCGCTCCGCTACCTCGCGCAGGCCGGCGCCGACTTCGTCTGGGCCAACGATGCCTCCGAGGCGCTTCGCCCCGTCATCCTCGCCAACCTCGCCCGCTTTGAACGGAGCTCGCCGGCGGCGGAGGCGGGGCGCAGGAGCTGGGTGGTGTCGCACAACGACGCTACCCGTCTGCTTTCAGAGCGCTACCTTCGGCGTGAGTACTTCGACGTCATCGACGTGGACTCGTTCGGCGGCGACGCTGCGTACGTAAGGGCAGCGCTCTTGGCGCTCAAAATTGGGGGCCTGCTCTACCTGACGTCCACGGATTGGCGGTCCGCGAGAGGATATGGTTCGAGAAGGTGAGTTCTTGATCCATTTTTGTTTTTCATCTTATCTAAAAGTCTTTGGATTAAGTCCCGAGGATTATTAGAAATGTATTACACGTTTTTATATTAGGTTCATCAATATTTATACGATAGGATCTGGCAGAGCCGCAGAGGTATCCGATGTAAATAGTTTTTGTAGCTCAACTTATGGTTGTAGAGTTGTCTCGTAAACGTGTGCTATATATTAATGTGAATGTTTTCCATTCCCCAATACAAGTAATAGAAGTTAGTACTTATGCAAACAGAAATGAAACACTAAAGTTAAATTGCTTAGCTAGATTTGGTATGTATCTGATTAATAATTAGATTGCACGGAGCATCTTTATTGTTGGTATAGTTACTTCTTCTGTCAAGTATGGTGAGCCTACCTTCAAAAAAAGTATGGTGAGACTGCATTACCCATTATATGCTTTGCTGCCAACATGTCTATTTAAATCAAATTTTCTCTGTACTTTGATGGACAAGTTATGGATCATTTTTTTGTCAACTATGTAACATGTCGTCTGTTTTAGCTCTCTGTCTTCATATGGAGCGTATGTTCGTCCAATGCCATATCCAAATGAGGTTGGTTTGCGAATGGTTCTAGGTGGTGCTGCACGGGAAGCATCTCTTTTGGGATTTCACATAACACCCATATTCTCGTATTTTGCATATCACGGTCCTATTTATCGAGTAATGGTACAACTATGCAACGGAAAAGATGATGGCATCAGGTAATGCATTGTGCTTTTCTATCTAATAATTACAGAGCTGATCAGTACATATTATGGAATGCTACCTCTGATGCCCTTTCTGTTTTGACAGTAATTATGGCTTCATTTGTCATTGCAAGAGTTGTGGCCAGTCTCAAACTTTTGGATTTGATGAGCTGGGGCAAATTTCTTGTGGGTGTACAGACAGAACAGTAGGTACAATGGATCATTGTGGCAGGACTAAATTATTGTTTTATTACTGGTGGTTGATGTCAGTAAAGTTAGGCCCTAAGCTTTTAACTTTGCCAGTATTAATTAACACAAATTAACATAGGAGTCAAGTACTCAAGTGTCATCTAAGAAACGATATCATTTGTAGCTAGCCCTGATGTTGATTTCCTAATGAATAATCTTTGATGATAATTGTATGCCTATGCCATGCAAGAAATCTCATCGAGTTGTGTTGTTTATTGAGTACTTGGCCATGGAAGTGTGCTAGTATATAATTGTCCCTTTTTCACAGGATGCCGATTCAATCACTGTAGTAGGCCCACTTTGGACAGGTCCTCTCCATGATGCCTCTTTCCTTACCGAAATGCTAAGCTTGGCCAATGAATGGGGATGGGCATGCACAATTGAAAATGGTGTCACTTTGGAAAAACTTCTTGGCATGATGATTGAAGAGAGTGACCCGAGGTTGCCTCCTGGATATATAAGACTTGATGAGGTATGTCTTGCAGTTCAATATTCGCTTATTCATCAATCTGCTACATTCAATTATTGGCTTAGCAAAATTTAACTATCCACCGATGCTAATTTTTCAATTAAATTCAGATTTCCAGACGAGCAAAAGTTAACTCTCCCCCACTCGGTACCCTCATCAATTCACTGCGGAAGGTATATCACTATTACATGCAAGTATTAGTGTTTGACTCATGTTAGTCGATCACAGTGATTTGAGGGAACGGACAATTAAATACTAAGACAATTGCATAACCACACACGTCATTTGTTTCTGACAATCTTATATAAAAGCTTAAAAGGGTTAGGTTATAGTTATGTTTTTGTTAATAATATGTGTCAAGTTCATTGGGTCCATCTTATGTTAGTTATACATTTTTAAATTTATATATGACTTAAAAAGCTAATGTATTTGAATATGTGTGAGCAGGAGGGTTTTTCTGCTTGTAGATCTCATATAGGTGCAAATACAATCAAGACCAACTGTCCAATTGCTTCTTGCATTAATGTCGCCCGGGACATCCGAAACTTAAGATGAATACCAACTACGCTGCTCGCTGTGTGATTCCCATAGTACAAAGTTCCTTTGTAGGCAGCACAAATGCAGCTGTGAGCTGAGCACTTGTTCCTGGTTCTCATCATTATTCGCCCTCTGGAATCAGAGGGAACCTTTAGCTATGGCAGTAGTCGGCGGATGGCAGTCATCGTGCCCAATACAAGCAACGAAGTTTGCTCAGTTAATTTTGCATCAGGTTTTCTTGGGGTTTTTTTTTTTTTTTTTTTGCAAATGTTTGTGATAGGCATCCACAGTCCACCTGTTTTCTATACAGGCTACCGTTTTTTTCTTTTATTCTAATCCTTTGTCTCGGTGATGATGTAGAACCGTGTTAGAAAGATGCAGGTTCGGGGTGAACTGCTACACAATGATGCAAAATGTAGCTTTTTTTAATGTGAGTTTGAACTTTGGTCAACATTGGAGATATACGCGGTTTACAACATAGAGGCATGGAGCTCAAGGGATCCTCCATGCAGAAATTTCTGATATAGGATTGCTGCAGCTCATCCGCACCCGCCCAACAATGGCGAAGTATCCACAAGATGCTGATAAAACGTCGCTTTGGGGCTCTACCACACCTCTTTAGTTGATATATTGCCTCTTAAGACACTACGGAGTAGTAAATTGTGGTTTTACTGGAGCTGCATATTGCATAGAAAAAGAAATTTCAATAGATGTGAAGGTGATGGCAAGTGACCTGTTCATAGAGGTGAGTACGTGCGTTAGTGTCCGCGTTGTACCGTGTAATTGCAAAAAGTTCAGGTCGACTGAATGCCTATGGTTAGCTGTTCTTGAAAAAACAAATGTCTATAAAAGTGCTCCTGGGCCATAGCGTTAGGACACTTATGACATTCAAATTTCACAATAGGCAGCTGATGCTCATCTTCGTTTCCCAAACAAAAGTTTGTTTTGACGATCAAGGTCATCTCTGAGGCTCACGAATAGAAAAAATGCAGCAATTTAAACTTAAGAATCTCCGTTTTCCCAACACAAGGATTTTTGGATATTTTTTTCCTTGCGTGTACTTGCAGCCTGAGCACCTGGCGATCGTATAGAATTGGCATCTTGTTAACAATAGGCAGAATAAGAATGATGCCTTACGGATCAGGATAAGATTGTTTCCTTCTCAACGAATTGTGCGCAAGCATCGTGTGAAAATTCAGTGATGAACACGCAACATTGTGTAAATGTATAGCACAGAGAACAAAGGGCAAATGTGCAATGAGACAATGAGTCCGTGCAAACTGTTTAGGTTAAGCGGCCTCAAACTGAATACTGAAACTTATTGCCAAAGACATCTTCAAACGGTAATTTCAGCTCAACATAAACATGATGCCTATGAACATGATTTGCAAGATTTTGCTCCAAGTGGAAAGGCCAAAAACTGGAAACGCATGGCAACAAATTCAAGCAAACATCGGAAGATCAGCAGACTTCATTAATGGAGACGAGAGTAGGAATGGCTCTGGCTCTCTTGGCCATCACCCTGCTCGAAGGATGCACTAGGAGCAGAGAACAGAGTAGCACGCAAGCAGGACGAACAAAATCGGCAGGCCATTGTGCATTAGTCTATCTCAGCGAAATGTACACAAGGTCCAGCGGCTCGACAGGTCCATCTTTATTTCACATGGTCAAACAGAGGAAACCCAGCGCAGATGAGTATTGTCCATTAAGACAATTCAAGCAAGAACATTTTCGTACACCTCTCCAGCATATTTCCAGTTAATCACCTTCCAGATGTTGTTCAGGTAATCCGGCCTAACATTCTTGTACTGCAACCAAGAAAGCAGTGGAGATCACTTAGCACGACAAAAAGTTTCTTCAAGATTGACTCACGAGAAAACTGACACTGATATTGGGAGACAAATAAATTTGAACCAAAGTCTACAAAGAATGCAGAACACAAGATCAATTTGAATTCGTTGTTAAAGCAGGGGGTGGCATGGCTCCCATAGACTGGAAAGGAGAAAATAAAGATTGCCTTGTATTTCAGTCAAAACTGCAATCACCTTCAAAAATATCTTTGTCAAATTGACCTTCTACATGCATGACCAGTTATCCAAGAATTCAATTCAACTGTTACTTCTAAATACTTTGATGTATGTGGCTTTTGTGTTCATGCCCCCGCTTCCAATGCAAATGGTGATTTTACCATCTATTTTTAAACTTTATGATTTTACCCCTGCATTTTCAAATTAAAGATTGAGTTTGCCCCTATTCCGGTAAAAGCACTTAACGGTGTCAGGGCGCGTTTGGACAGTGTCCAGAAACTGCCGCACCGAACGTTTGGCCGTGCCGCAACCGCGGCGCTGAAATCGGCCGCCGCACCTCCGGCACGTTTTGGCACCCAAAATACACTAGAGGACCACGGTAAGGCTGTGGCATGCCGCAAATGGGGCAGCAAACCAAATGCATGCCGCAACTGCGGCGCTGAAGTTGCAGCCCGGCGCGGCATCCTTTGGACGCAAACCAAACGCGCCCTCAATTCAGATGTAAAAATAAAAAGAGTTTGTCCATACAGATTCACCTCTAGCTTTCTGAGTACTATATGATTTTACCATTAGTTTAACATCAAATTGGACAATCAACTAATGTGCAATCACTCACACTTCATTTCACCAACAAGCAATTAGGTGAAATGGATTACACGGCATCCAGAAAAAAACAGACTGCCATCTTTAGTATGTCGCTCAATCGTCGAAAAAAGTAAAGGGCGTACCCAGTGCTGAGAGCTCCCGCTCTGTGTGGGGTCTAGGAAGGGTGTCAGTGGCAAGCCTTACCCTCGCCTGTGCAATGCGAGGAGACCGCGACTCGAACCCGGGACCTTCCGGTCATAGGCGGTAAGACTCTACCGCTTACACTAGGCCTACCCTTCAATCGTCGAAAAAAGTAAAAGAGAAAAACAATCTCCTCTTGTCTCTTGTAATTAATTAATCGATTAATTACCCCAATTACAAGTTCAACACCGCCTGTGACCTCCACCTAACCAAAACTTACTCTAAGCGTCAACCGCTTGCGAGATCCACCAGCTCCACATGCTCTGGTTCATCCGGTTAACGGTGGACAGGAAGAACTGTCACTAGTTGGGCAGGACGCTACCATCGGACTACCTCCGTCTGCTAATGCTTGAGCCTTGAGCTTGGTCCAGGTCTCCAGGCACAACGGTCTTACACCTCCACTTTCCGGTGGAGAAGGCGGGCGCTCACATCTGCAGCAGCTCCGGCCAAGAATCAGTGAGCGAAAGAGAAAGAGCTCCCTCTCCCTCTTGTTTGTTGTCCCCACTGGAAAGCCTGGGCGCTGTCAGGCGATGTGGACACACGCACCATGGTGTGGTTGGGATTTGACACCATCGCAGCGCCCCACACCTGACGAGACTTGGCCTGCCCCGTGCCGCGCGAGCCGCTGCCACCCCACGCGCCTGTCCGAGTGGCCACAGCTGTCTAACATGCCGTCGCCTGGGAACGGAAAACGTGTGGCCTTGGACTGAACGAGTGAGGAGCGAGGGTGAAATGATAAGGGGTATTTTGGTACTTCCCATTCTTTTGTTTTATTTTTCCTATTTTTCGTTGCTTAATCCATCGTTAACTAACGCCCGTCCAAAACAGGGGCAAACATCAGCTTCAAATCAAAACTATGAGGGTAAAATCACAAAGTTAGAAAAGTAGGGGTAAAATCACATTAGACTCTACTATAATAAGGGCAGAAACACCAAATTCCCTTTGATGTATTAACCATAATAATGATATAATAATCCACAAGCTGCTAGAATTTGGGATTATCTAAAAGACTGCAAGATGTGAGAACTATCTTCAATATAAATACCAATTTGAATGATAACAACTTATAAAAAAGAATCGAGGGGGTAATTCATATGTTGCTAATATAGGGGTTGTTGAACCAATATGACGGCAAGATGCAAGGAGCCAATAACAATCTTTGATGCGGTCTTTCCATATGACTCAAGCAATAGTGTTAAGTCATCATCAGTTTAGGATCAACAAGATTACCTGCAGGTAGTATGCATGCTCCCAGACATCAATCCCCAACAGCGGAACCAAGCTTGCACCTTTAGTCACCAGAGGATCCTGCAAGATACTAAAATCAGCTATGCTCATGAAGCCACCTTTTGTAGGATCTAAAAAGATAAGATATGAAACTTAAGGTTGAAAACCAGCATGTGACAGAACACATGCATCACTGAAGGTAGGATGATGAAGCTCTCCACAGTTCACAATTTCACAACAGTTCAACGCAGCACAAATGTGAGATACTACACTCTTGACATGTTCTCAGAAAATTGACGAAAAGGAAAAGGAAAAACTTTTGGCCACTTGCTGCAACCATATCTTTATCTTACAGCAAAGCTTGCACCGATATTGTGAAAACACATACTAACTTGTGAGTATCCTTCTACACCCCATTAGTGGGTAAGGTTTAGGGCAAACATTATGATCAACAAGCATTAAAACCACTCGGAGATGGACATTACTCTAACAAAAGAGTGGCAAAGGAGAGATGCAATTTTTCAGACATCAAACAAATGGTTTTCAAATCGTCTAATCGACCCTAGTTGCATGGCACCGACCAGACAAACTAATTGCAACTAATTGTAATGCATAACTGATCACCATGGCACTGATAAGCCCTACTAACCACGATTAGTCGGACGGCTTGGTAACGCTGATCACATATATTTTGCTGATGTGGCACACTTGAAAACAACAAAATGAAACTATCCATTGGGATTGGCCTAACAACTAGAAGGCAGGAAGCACAAGGCACCACTCTGTCTGAACCCAGCTGCGTCCCCACCAAAGCATTTGATCCCCGAGACAAACCACAGAATGAGAAAGAAAGGAGGGTGGGGATGGGATCAGTTCTCGAAGAGTCTACATAAAGAAAAAGGGGTTAGTTCCAAAAAGAAAAAAGGAATCAGTGGCCCTGCTAATGGCCTTATAGTTATAAAAATTATGTTGGTCAGGAAAAAAATTACAGATTGGTTAACAGATGAAGGTAAATCACTTGGTCTCAAATCACACACTTTTTTATACAATATCATAAGCAACCCAACAATCATTTGCCATTAGATGTTTATTTTGATGATTATATTTTCTAATTCTTTCTTATGTCATATTAGTGATACCTTTCTTAAGCATGCATACAAATGGAAGGCCTGCATATAATCACACTCAACAACAATTGCAGCTTGCCTATGGGCCACCAAGGTGCAAGGAAGTTGCTATAAACACAACTCCGATCAAGAATGAGAACTGGGCATAGCCATGCTGTATCATAGGAAGAATAAACAGATGTGGAAAACATCTTTCACCTGATTAGCTGTAGTTTCAACTGAAAGCTTTTTTGCCTCTTTATCCAAAGCTAACCACTGCAGAGAAGCATGAGATTCATGGTCAACAGAACACATCTTTGACTATTCTCGATAAACATAAACAAAGCATAACATACGTACCACCCATCCAGATCCTTGTAAAGCAGCGCCTTCTGCATTCATCTTCTTTACAAGTGCTTCAAACGAACCAAAATCCTCATCAATGGCCCAGCCAAGTTTCCCATGAGGCGACTCCCCACCACCCTCCTGCAAAGCATCCAATATCCCCACAATTTTCCATAAAACGACACAAAAAAGGAAAAGAAACACAGTTGAAACAACAAATTGTCTTAACAAGATACTCACACTAATAGGCTTGAGGTTCTTCCAGAAGATTGAATGGTTCACATGACCTGAAAAATGATAATTATCTTAGTAAAATTCTAGAGCAGAGAAACAGTTAGTTGGCAATCTCAATACAAGGAAATCTTCCAAAAAGGTTACATGTGAATAGGTTAAAAGTGAATAAAATCAAGAGGTTAACATGCCATGCTCATGAACAAGTTAAATAGGCCAACTTCTTGCCAATAAGTGGTAAGGGGCTTCTTCACCTCTCATCAATCTAGACCAACAAGGTGTGCTTAAACCAATTTTACTAATGAGAAGGGTTTAACAGGCTGCAGCTTACAAAACAAAATGAACAGGTTTCAGTGTTGCACAAACAAGTACCCCATCTATTCGAAATTGTAAGTCGTTCTGGCTTTTCTAGATGCGTAGCTTTTACTATGTCGTTCTGGCTTTTCTAGATGCGTAGCTTTTACTATGTACCTAGACCTAATGTATATCTAGCAAAATCTATGTACCTAGAAAAGCTTACAATTTGGAATGGAGTAAAATATAGCCATAACCCCAAGCAAGTTAGGGGTATGCTCGAGCAGGAAAGGAACTAAATGTAGTTCATAGTGTACAAGTGTGAGGACATCCCATGAAACCACTTTATAGGTCTGAGCATCAGTAACTACAGCTCTAATAGCCCACCAAATAACACTGATTCCTGCACAATAATAAAGTTCTTATCAACCACAACCTGGCAAATGCTACTCGCATCATCAGTCCTATAGTAGCTAGCATGAGAACAATACAGTAAAGAAAGTCATACAGAAAGATGCAGCAAAATAAACAATACCCAAACCACATAATAATAGAGACAAGACATCAAACAAAAAAAATAGAGACAAGACGACCCTAATGGTACCACGAACCAATCTAGAAAATTCGACTGTTACAGAAGCACTAATAGAGAGGGGGAAACTCGAAAATGTATCCTAATTGGAGACCATCGAGCCATGGATGGTCCATCAAAATCTGCACTCGTGATCTATGAGAATCTCCAGCACACCCACCTGAAAACCTCAGGTACAGGGGCAACCCGAAATCAGGGAGGTCAACATACTCCCCTCCCGCACTCAGATCACTCGAGATCGGCAACAAAAGCGCACTAAACCCCCATCGAACCCATCAAATTCGCCCCGCCCTGATAGTAATAATCCCCCAAAATAAAACAAGGCCTAGAAGACGACAGATGTGGGGCGAGTACAGGGCCATGACTCACCGCCGCCGTTGAACTTGATGGCGCCCTGGAGCTGGACGACGGCGGAGGCGTCGCGCTTGGCGACGGCGGCGTCGAGCTGCTCCAGCGCCTTGTTGTAGTTGGCGACGTAGGTGGCGTGGTGCTTCTGGTGGTGCAGGCGCATGATCTCCCCCGAGATGGCCGGCTCCAGCGCGCCGAAGTCGTAGGAGAGGTCGGGGAGCGTGACCGTCGTCACCCCCCTTGCGGAAGCCGCCAACGGCCGGGCCGCGCCGCCGAGCGCGAAGGATAGGGCCTTCTTCGATGCCAGGGTGCGGAGAGCCATGGCTTCGCTCGCTTGCTGTCTCTCCTAGGTGCGTACGCGCGTGACACCGAGATGGAGGGGAAGGGGATGACTGAGGACTGATGAGCGGCGGCTCGCTATGTGATGTGCTTCACGGAGAGGAGCTCTTGGAGGGTTTTCTGGAAGGGGAGGTTTGGGGGACAGACCCTGCGTCGCGATTCGTGCAGGTGGACGCGTGCGTGGCGCGCTGATTTGTTTTTGTTGGCGAGAGTACAGTGGGCTTCAGGAAATTGCTTCCTGCGAATCAGTTATTCGTGTAGAGGCTTCCCTGGATGACGTGCCTGTGAGCTGATACAGACATTAAAGAGAGGAGGGGATAGGAGGGCTCGGCTCTTGATCAAACGCTGGCCAGGTTCGTGTCCGGTCTAAAAAAAACCGCGGCGGCCGCAACCTTTTCATCAAATCAATGGAAGCAGAGATTACAGATGTGCCGTCGGGATAACAGGTCAAGAAAGTAAACAGCCGGTGTCTTTCAGCTGCAGCCGATTTCCTGCCTGTGTACGGGCCAGGGGCCACAGAGTTCGGGAAACCATGGGCAGCCAATGCCAAATCCTGAAATCACACAGCACGACTACGTGGAGAAGTGAACTGGCCACGACGTGCCACATACGATGGCACGCCGCACGCCTCGTGGAAAGCTGGCGGCGTCGCTTTCCACATGTGTTGCTCTTCACTCTTTTCACACGTCGTTCCATTTGCTACTCCGGTACTCCCCAACCCCAACGCACGGTATGTCCTCGTCATCAATAAGATAGGGTGTGTTTGGTAATGTGTTAAATCTGATTTGGCTAGCTAATTAAGTCTGAGTAGGTAAAGCTTGTCTCCAGCTATGTAAGATACACTTATTTAGTTGTAGTGGCTAGCTTTTTCTTAAGAGCCACCAACAGGAATATGCCGGGCATATATTAATAGAGAAGAAACATGTTACAAATGAAAAAAATAAAACAACCTCACAAAAGAGCCAACAATAAAATTACTGCCACAAGAAACTCAAACCTAACGATCCTCGTAAGCAACAGCTGTTAAACGTCACTATGCACGGCACAGATAGCAAGCACTATGGTCCCGTTCGCTTCGCTGAAAAAACAAGCTGAAACACTGTTCCGGCTGATTTGTTGGGAGAGAAAAATAATGTTCCGGCCGAAAAAAAACAAGCTAAAAAAGACAGATTATAAGAGAAGCGAACAGGGCCTATGAAGCTGGCAAGAGAAGTAGGTTTTCCACGGTGATGCTTCCAAAGAGGGGAATGACGTTCAATGATGCCGTCAACGCTGAAAGGAGAACCAAGATTTTTCAACCAAACTCCAAGAGGGTAAAGGGGTCACACGACAATGCCTCCAACGAGGGATGTGCAGCCAAAGACATCACCATTGTCGGCCAAAGCCAAAGGCTTGGCGGGGCCTTCGCCCGACTACCTCAACACCTAAGCCCAAACCAGCCACATCGTAGAAGACCACAGCCAACCGCCACCAGCAGGAGAATGTTGTAGCACCGACAAGGTCACTGGCATGCGTGACCTGTGTTGGTATATTTAATGGACATAGATAAATCCACAAGCGCGTGGATACCACTGTAGCTTTCACCCGGAGGTATTCCAAGTATTGTATCCACAGGGAAACGTATGAGACTAACTACGATCTAACTTAACTAAGGGTAGCAACAAGGTTAGGATAAATAGGAGCATAGAGAGAATAACTAAAGTTCTCTAGTTGACTTAAAAAAAGCTTGTCTTCTACTATTTAACTAGGGACATTACTAGGGGAAGACACTAGCAGAAGGTGTTTTTCTTCGCAACCACGTCCTATGTGCGCCTACAGACGGGAGGTGGACTACAAAGGATCAACGAAGCTATATAGTACAGGCTATATTGAACTTATGTCACTCACACAATCTACCACCTTCTGGAATACAGGGTGCATCTACGATTAACCTAAATCTAAGCACCACACTTACACTTATGATTAATACTCTACTCCCCTTAGGAAAAGAATAAAGCACTCAAAAGAGATTTGTGAACCTGAAGAACGATATAAACAAGATGCTTACTTGAATCAGAAGTTGATTAACAAATAAATCTCAGACGCAAGCTCAGATAGAACTTGAATCCGCCGAGGTACAAGCTGTAGAGAGAGCACCGATAGGCCAACACCTCCTCCAGACTCTTTTCTCACTATTATTTATAAGACTATATCCTATGAAGGACTAATCTTCTCTTGATAGCTGGCTCTGATTCTCATGATATGAATTAGGGTTTCAAAATAGCTCCAGGGAGGGTGGCAAGGGCTGGTATATATATACCGGAGCGTCCAACGTGAGCCCTTAGATCAAACTGACTTAAAGGACGGCGTAGATGCAACCTAGAAGGCGGTGGAGAACCGACATAGCAACGGGAGGCTAACATGGGGTGCTCATAGGTCGGGCGGCCTCTAGGTGGGGCTGGCCGGCCCCACATGTCAGAGACATGGGCTACACTTCAGTGATTCGCCTTCTGGAGTCTTCTAGAGTCTTTCCACGTCGATTACGCGGCGGAGTTCATAGGTAGGGAGAAAGATAGAGCATACTTGTAATACATATATTGTAAAGTCAAACAATGGATCCAAAAAGAGTTGAGTCATACAATCAAATCAAGATGTGCATGTGTGTGGATATATGATGGATATAAATTGTGGCTAACCTAATTCTACTATGCTTCTTAAAAACATATCTCTCATTTAAAACTTGGAAACATTTGCTAGAGAGCAGGGGCTATCTTATTCATCTCTTTTTCTCTTCTCTTTTTTTCAGACGGGCATCTAAGTACCTATTATTTTAAATATCTCGGACACTTGTCCATTTCTTCTCAACTCTCTTTTTTCTCTTTTTTTATAAATAACTTTTGCATAGCCCTATGTCTCTTTTCTGCAATAAAACTTTGAGGGATAGCAACAAGAACTTAGAGTATTTATTTGGTGGATGAAAAACGTATCAAGCATGTTTTGTGTTCATTCACAGTGTAGGAGTAAAATATTTTTGGGTGGATCTAGATGAAAGACATATTTTTGCGCCTACCTCCAGTGTAGGAGTAGTGCATATCTAGGTGGTGTGTACGTGATCTTGATTTTAAGAGCATAACAAATCTCTCATAAGGGTCAACAAAGATTGACAAAACTCAATACAAAAGCAAGCAGCAGATATGTAGAGGTTTTCATAGCCTAAATAACATGAATGGCTCTGGTGAGAATTCAAGCTTTGTCATGCAGAAACTCATTATGTAGCATTTTTGTGTTTTTCAAAAGATAAATCTCCAGAACTTTAGTGTTACTTAAAACAAGATAAATAGTAGCTCAGACCTTCTTATATCATATCCGTCAATACCTAGACTTAGATCAAGCATTCGCTACCTACGAGTTTTAAGTTCAGAGTAAATCTTTATATCAAATCAGTCGTATCAAAAACTTGGGAGAGTTCGAGGTTGAAAACTAGGTACTTGAAAGAAATTACAACAGAGCAACTATTCATCATTTCTATTTAAGAGATTATTCTAAGTCCTCTTTATTTTATTCAACTCTTCAAATTAAAGCAACCTAGATACACACTCTTTTTATTTTGTTTTTAATTTTACTAGATCGCACATTATTACTATAAATGACTAATGTAAAGATAAATTTTTATTTTATTTTTCATTCATCATTTTTTAACTATTTAAAAGAAACTAAAACTAGAACAAAGGGAAAGCATACTACCTGGATACATGAGGATGCTTCTCCCCCAAGCTAGCTCTTTCGGTGAGGATTTGGTGTTTGAAGTCCTTCAAACTGGACTTCTCCTTGTGAAATTTATTGACCAAGTACCTCAGTTCGCTCTGAAGATGAGGATCATTGTGATGACGCCTCGAATGGTGATACCACCTTTTTTCGCTAAACCCATCTTGGTTTTAAGTTTTGATTTTGGTTTAGCAGGTTCAGGACCTTCACTTGTAGAAATTTGGGGAATCGAATGTCATCCCCCACACTTTGCTTGAAGTGTGTCCTGCTCATAAAGACAAGGTAGAGATCAAGTGCATGAGCTCTGTTGGTAGAAAAACACCAACATAACCAAAACTTTCCTTATTCTTCTCTAACCTTAGGCACATTGAACAAGATGAAGTTGATATTGTTTGCTTTGTTCACTTATGTCATGGGTGATAAGATCAAAAGATTCAGCTACTTAACCTATGAAAGGATTGTCCATAAGGTATTAATCTTTACATGATTATAACTATCATCTTCCAGAGATAGGATGTGTAATATTTTAGCTCATTTGGTTAAAACTATGAGATTAAGAAAGTGATATTAGCAACAAGCTTGCAGAACTAAACATGTTGAGTTAATTAGGTTTGATCAGGTAAATTGTAACTTAAACATATTTTGTTTCTTATTTATGTGCCTGCCAGAATCAAGGAAAAGTTTTTTAAATAATAACCATTTACCTTGGGATGTTACCTTTGTTATTGGAGCGTAATGTCACCATATGACAAAGGGTAGATGACTCATGATGGTCCTTCTCTTTTGCTTGAAGTTTTCCTTGTTCAGCTAGTCTCGCAGCTTGAGCTGCTCATGAGCTTCTTGTCTCCTAGATTGCACCTTTTCTTTCTCATTCTTTTATCATGCCATCTTTCTGTTCTTCGACACCTTGTTAGACCTTTTGCCTCACTAATTGTTTTATGTCTGCAAAGGATTAGTGGACAACACATACCCAAAGGAATTTTTTTCACAATTATGTTTATATGCTCACTTCACAAGGGCATTATAGCAAAAAGTGAAAGCTCATGTTATCTCCCAAAAGTGCTTGCTTTAGGATAAAAGCTCATCCTTGGGAAACCTTCTAATTGCACTCAAGTTGGTGAAATGGTTTCCCCTCCAATATAAATCTTTGTGTACCTATCTCAAGATTCATACAACGAGATCTGCAATATTTATGATAAACATATGCATCTACAACCACCCTTTCAAAGTCTTTATGAA